TTAAACTTCTGATATGTGGCAGGGTAAATAAACTTTTAAGGGCTGCTTTGAAACTTAACCACCATGTATACCATTGTCTCTGTGAGGAAGAGTATTTCAGAATCTTAACAGCCGGCTTTAAAATGAACTTTGGAAACAATTAATTATTGGCTAGTTGAGGAATAACTGCTGTTGCATAAAGAATGAAATCTTTGCTTGTGATTATAATCAATGTTTATTTTCTTTTAAAGGGCTTCTTATATGCATATAGCATTAGTACCATTATTAAAACAACAATGAATCTCTATATGTCCATGCAAAAGCCAATGACCAAGACCTCAGTTAAGGCATTGTGCAGGCTTGTTGAACTTCTCAAGGTAGGTTTTAGATTGTTTTACCTTGCCATCGTAATTGAGAAATGACCTTGTCTTAAATTATGGTGGTCTTGTAAGATTTGACATCTTTCTTATATGGGAATAAAACATTATGAGAAAGTACTTCTCTCTCGATTGACTATAGGAACTAGCCATTGAAAGAAATATCTGAACAACTACTTATGAATGGCTGGTGTATTTAAACTTCATTAGAAGAGAGAGGAAAGAAGGAAAATAGAAAAGTTAGTTTAAGTATTATTAGTGAAGTTTTACTCATGGAAGTTTTAAAAGTATGTTACGTGAGTTTGAAAAACTATTCATGCAACTTATCTATTATTTTATAGTGTTCACATGCATATGAGATTAGTTAACATGAAGCTATTTTGTAATTTTGAGAAAATGCTGTAATCTTGTGATTTGAACAGTAGGCTACTTGTAGAGCTAGTCAAATGAATTAAGACTTATAATTGTGGAAATAGAATGGAATGTTTCATAGTATACTCTGTATCAATTAAAACAAACAACTCCTTGTGAGAATGATAGCCCAGTTAACCTTTTGTAAAAATGGAAGTTTAGATTTGTAAGTTTTGCCTAGTAATGGACTTTAGATTTGTTAAGGAAACGAAGGCTTTTTTGGAGACTGCCTTTGGATTTTCAGCCTTTCTTTTTTTAGGATACATTATTTGTTAGAGATATTATTTGTTGTCACTTACATTTTTTAATGAAATATAAATACAGAAGTAGTGTATATATGTGTTTGTGTATTGATAGATACATGTATATAATATATAGGCATATTTTTAAACATAATAAATACCCTCAGTTCCACTTAAGAGATAGAATGTTACCAATATTTTCAAAGCCCCCTTTGCGTCCTTCCCTGATTGTATCTCAACCTGCCCCCCACAGAGGAAACTATTGTCCTAAATTTTATGCTTATCATTTCCTTGTTTCTCCTTTTAGCTTACCACAAATGGATGAAATTATAAATCATTCATTGTTATATATGTTTTTGAAATTATATTCATGGAGTACTACTTTATATATTCTTTGACTTGCTTTTTTCCCTCAACATTTTACATTTTCCGCAACATTTTGTATTTGAACATATCCATGTTGGGATGAGTAGCTGTAATAGTAATACATTCATTTTCATTGTGGTGTAGCTTTCCTGTAGATGGGCTTTGGGATGGTTTCCGATTTTTGCTGTTAAAAGGATTGCTGCTATTCTTGTAAATGTTTCTTGGTGTACTTGTGTAAGAGTTTTTCTAAAGTGTTATGTACCTACAAGTGGGTTACTGGGTTGTACGTTACGTACATGTTCACCTTTTCAAGATGATGTGAAATTGTTTTCCAAAATAGTTATATCAGTTTACATACCTCCCACAACATGTTAGATTTTCCATTGTTCTCCAACTAGTCAACGCTGGTATTGTCAAGCTTCAGTTGTTTTTTTGTAAATTAATGGTTATAACTGGTTTTGATTATGATTTTAATGTTTAACCTCTGATTATTAGTGATGTTAAATAGCTTTTCAATTATTTATTAACTGTTTCTTCTTTTGTGAAAAATCTGTTCATGTCTTTTGTTCAGTTTTCTATTGGACTATGTCCTTTTTAAAAAAAAAACAAAAACAAAAAGTCTTTCATTCATTCAGGGTATTTTTATATCCTGAACACTAATCCCATGTATGTAGCAGATATCTTTTCATACATTGGCTTACCTTTTTATTCTCTATAAGTGGCTTTTGATGAACAGAAGTTCTTAATTTTAATATAGTTGTATTAACCTTTTTATGGTGGTGCTTTTAATGTCTCATTTACAAATTCTTCCCTAGCCCGAGGTCATAAAGACATTCTTTTATAATTTTGCCTAAATGTTTTAAGTTCATTTTCACAAAATTACTTTTGATTCTTTTTAGGCAATAGAGCATATGTTCTACAGAAGAAGCATGGTTGTGGCTGATTCAGTTTCACATATAACACAGCACCTTCAACATCAGGCTCTTAATTCTATTTCTGTGGCCAAGGTATGCAAATTCTTATGTATTCAGAATAATATGTTACCATTTTTGTTCTTCTGTTTTTTATTTGTGTCTTCTAGATTAGTCTGTTTACTCCATTCCTTCAAACATAGTATTCTTGGTCATTAATCTCCATTATTTTATGATTTTTACTTAGGGTTATCAGGGTTATCTTTACTCTGAAATTGCAGCATATGATACATTAGTACACCTCTATTAAAAAATGACATTGTATGCACTTTTGAAATTGATGCATCATTTTTGGGAAATGATTTCTTACTAAATTAATACATACATTTTAAAGTATATCTAATACATTTGCTGTTCTGATAGTGCTAAGAGATAATGTTACAGAAGTAAAGTATAAAACGTTACCGGAAGTTCAACATGGAAAACATCATATTTGTGTATGCTCTCTTAAATTGAATCATGGAAAAGATAATTGACA